ATTGTACCCGGCGGGGGGGGAGGGGAGTAGGAAGTTCCTACCTGTCACAAGGAACCAGCCACCATCTTGAATGAAAGTACCAAAGGGGCGTGGCCTATGGGGCCTGACGTCAGATGGGCGGGGCCTGTGTGGGACGGGTTTAACCCTTCCCCTGCTGCAGGACTCCTGGGTTCTCTCCCCGGCTTTTGGGAGGGGAGAGGAGAGGAGGGGGTCTAGTGTGGGGGAGCCCGGACGCCTGGGTTCTCCCCGTTGGCCCTGCGTCACTCCCCGGGGGGCGGCAGAGATCGGTGACGGGGCTTGTTTTTCCCGGAGCTGCTCGGACGCCTGGGTTCCCTGGGCCTGGAAGGGGGGGTGTGAGGATCCCAGCTAGGGCCGGGTGCTGTGGGGCGCTGTGGGGTGGGGGGCGCTCTCCGCTGGCAGTCAGGGCCGGAGGCTGGGGGGCGCCATGGGGCAGGGGCTGGGTGGGGGGCGCTCTCCGCTGGCAGTCAGGGCCGGAGGCTGGGGGGCGCCATGGGGCAGGGGGCTGATGCAGGAGGACACTGTGGTTTTGAAAGCCCCCTTTCAATCTCACGCGGGGCCCCTGCTGTCCTTGGCCCTTCCGTTAACAGCCGCCGCGCTGCACCCCAGAGGTGGCTGCAATTTGCCGGGGTCTCGTGCTCGGGCCCTGCTGATGGAGCTGGCGTTTGACCCAGCTTCGGGCTGGGACCCTTGTGACGGACTGAGCACGTCCCGGATTAACTCCTGAGTCCCCCCCCGCCGCCCCCTGCCCCCGAACTAGCCTTGCAAGAAACTTTTCTCCATTTTTCAGTTTTTTCCCTCTTGCCACCAAGTGCAATCGAATGGGTGCGGGCTCTCGCTCGCCCCTTCCCCCGGCTTCCCCTGGTCCGACTGGGTTCCCCCCAAAGCTGGGGGTGGGTGGCTGCAAACAGGATGGGAATGGGAACGTTGTGGGGTCCCGGGATGGGAACGTTGTGGGGTCCCGGGATGGGAACGGATGTGTGAGGTCTCAGGTACGTTGTGGGGTCCCAGGATGGGAACGGACATGTGGGGTCCCGGGATGGGAATGGACGTGTGGGGTCCCAGATATGTTGTGGGGTCCCAGGATGTGAATGTTGTGGGGTCCCAGGATGGTAACGGACATGTGGGGTCCCAGATACGTTGTGGGGTCCCAGGATGGGAACATTGTGGGGTCCCAGATACGTTGTGGGGTCCCAGGATGGGAACGGACGTGTGGGTCCCAGGATGGGAACATTGTGGGGTCCCAGGTACGTTGTGGGGTCCTAGGATGGGAACGTTGTGGGGTCCCAGGTATGTTGTGGGGTCCCAGGATGGGAACGGACGTGTGGGTCCCAGGATGGGAACATTGTGGGGTCCCAGGTACGTTGTGGGGTCCTAGGATGGGAACGTTGTGGGGTCCCAGGTACATTGTGGGGTCCCAGGATGGGAACGGACGTGTGGGGTCCCAGGTACGTCTCTGCGGTCGCCTCTGGAGATCACTTCCAACCTGACGTAAGTGTGGGGACGTTTTATAGCGTCTGGGCCAAGAATCTAATAAAAACGCACCCTAGTGTTTATTCCTCCCCCCCCCCCAATCTCAAACAATTGTTTTAGGGTGGGGGGTCGTTGCCCCCTGTGGACGATCCCGTTCTGGAAGGACTTTGGCCGGCTCGGCTCGGGGAACAGAGCGCTAAGATAGGCCCCGTCGATCCCCAGGAGAGCTCAGTGTTAGCCGTCCCGGGGTACAATGCGCCATGGAGCCGGGCCCATGCTCAGAAGGGCCCCGGCCTGCTCTGCTCGCCCTGCGCCCCGAGACCCCGCTGGCTCCCCCCACCCATCACTTCCACATATTGTGTTTTTGCAGGGGGTGCAATGTGTGTGTGGTTTTGCATTGTGTGTTGTGAGCTGTGTAAGTGTTGTTGCAGAGGTGGTTGTTGCAGTGTATTGTTGTGGGGATGTTGTTGCAGTGGGTGTTGTTGAGAACTCAGGGTGTTGTTGCAGGCTCTGTATATGCTGTTGCGGTGAGTGTTGTTGCAGTGTGGGTGTGTGTGTTGTTACAGTAGATGTTGTTGCAGCATTGGGTGTTAGTGTGTGGTGTTGTTGCGGTGTGTGGTGTTGTGTTGTTGCAGTGGGTGTTGTTGCAGGCTCTGTATGTTGTTGCACTGGGAGTTATTGCTGCATGGGTGTTACTGTGGGGTGTTGTTCCAGTTTGGGTGGGTGTTGTTGCAGTGGGGTGTGGTCATGGCATGTGTTGTTGCAGGGTGTTACTGTGGGGTGTCCCTTCATAGCACCAACCCCCAGCCTTTCCCCGCCCTCCCCCTCCCTCTCCCTAATTGGCTCCCTGTGACACCCCCTCCAGCAAGCCACATGGTGTGACTTGTGCCTTCTGATTGGATGAGTGGGTCGCCGTGGGGGGGGGGGAGGGTGGGACCTGCAGTGGAATTCTGGGAATTCTGCTGAGCCCTGCCCAGCACAGGGGTAACAACCTACTACTACTACTGCCGTTCAGTCACTGCTGCCCAAACCCCGCAACGCCGCACTAGGGAGCACCGGGCTGCTGGGAGGGGGTGCTTGGCAGGGGCACTCTCCCCTGGCGGTCAGGGCTGGGCGCTAGGGGGCGCAGTACTGGGGAGAGCAGGACAAGTAGCTCGCTCCACCCCAGAGGCAGCTGCATTTCCGCGATTGCCCGGTGGGCTTTCGGCTTTCTCGGCCTCTGCAGCCCTGGGAAGTGTCACGTACCCGCCATCCCAGCGATAACCACACACACAACCAAGAAGAGCAGGCTCCTGGCTGTGCTAGCCAACCGGCCTGTGGCTAGTAGCCGGATTCAACGAGGATAACAACCTACTACTCTTCCCACAACGAACGGAGACCTTCCCAGCTCCGGGCCAGCCAACTCCTGCACCCAGCTTACTTCAGCAAGTTCTCACCCCATTGTGATGCTAGGGAGAGAACCCAGGAGTCCTGGCCCCCCGCTCTGACCCACTAGACCCCACTCCACTCCCAGAGCCGGGGAGAGAACCCAGGAGTCCTGGCCCCCAGCCCCCTGGCTCTGTCCCACTCAGACGCTCTCTGGTCCCAGCTCAGTGATAACTTTCTCTCATTAGCTGTTTTTCCAGTGCCAGGCTGGGGGCTCTGGGCTCCCCAGGGGCCCCGTTAATTCACCCTTCGGTCCCTGGACCCATCTCCAAGTCAGGCTCGTTAGCGAAGGTCCCTGGGGTGGGGGGATCCCGGCGGGATCCAGGCTGCCTCGGGTGCTCAGGGGCCACTGGGGGTCTCTGGGCCCGCATGCACTGAGCTGGGGGGACCCCCGGGAGCGGAGTGCTATTCCTGGGGCAGTGAGGGGTGGGGGAGATGCCCAGCCCCCCAGAGATCTGGACTCGGCCCCTTTGCCCAGCTGTGACTCAGTTTCCCCCTCCTTTGTCCACCAAGATCTCTGCCTCAGTGTCCCCACCTTCTGTGTATTTAGACTCTGAGCTGTTCGGGGCAGGAAAGGTCTCTCACCCTGTTTGGAGTGGGGCTCCCCTGCCACGCTGGCTGCTGTGCAGACCCCTCCCCGACCAAGATTGGCCCCCCCCCCCAGTCATGCTAGGAGCTGCACAATCTTGCCCGGGGATGGGTCTGTACAGCGCCCGTGAGACGGTGCCCCCTCAATTTCAGCCTTTTACTACAGCACATCCCATCACAACCCCTCCCCCTGCCCCCCCCCTCCCCGCCTAGGTGCCCGTGGCCTAGCAGACTCCACAGACCCTGGTTCTCGGCCTAGCTGTGCCAGTGACCTGTGCCTCAGTTTCCCCTGCACAGGGCCGGATTAACCTTTTGTGGGCCTGGCTCCCAACATATCCGTGGGCCCCCGTGAGGGCAGTGGAGCCTGGCGCGGGGAGGTCAGTCCCCGGAGCGAGGGGCCAGCCAGGGGCAATGGGGTACGGCAGGGGCAGCCCCACTTCACCCAGCCCAGTGCAGGCCACTAGTTACAAACCAGCAGTTGCCAGACGCACACTGGCCTGTGCTGCCAGCCTGCCCCTTCCCCTCGGGGGGCGGGCCCCATGCCACACCACACAGCCCCTCCCCCTCCCCGCCCAACACCCCTTGACTCCCTATGGCCAGAGCCCCCTGGACCCGCTATGCCCAGCACCCCCCAGGCCTCCTCCACAAATGCCCAGCGCCCTGCACACCCCCCCCGCCCACAGCCCCTCCACAACTGCCCAGCACCCCTCACAGAGCCCCCACTCCCTAGTGCCCCCCCCTCAGATCCTCCCTGTCCCCTCACAGCCCAGCGCCCCCCCCGACCCACTCCCCGCCTCCGGCCGCACTCACCGGCCCTGCTGGGAGGCAATTGTCTGCCTGGCGGAGTCGGCGCAGCCAGGGGGTCCCGGGGTGGGGGGAGTGCAACAACGCCCCACATTAACACCCACTGCAACAACTCCCAGCGCAACAACATACAGAGCCTGCAACAACACACCCACACCACAACACCCACACTAACACCCACGCTGCAACAACATCCACTGTAACAACACCCACAACACACCCCGCAACAACACCCACCCACACTGCAACAACACCCCACAATAACACCCACACAACAACTCCCAGCGCAACAACATACAGAGCCTGCAACAACACCCACTGCAACAGCACACCCACACCACAACACCACACCCCACAACACCCACCCCCACAGCACAACACCCCACAATAATACCCACGCTGCAACAATTCCCAGCGTAACAACATACAGAACCTGCAACAACATCCACTGCAACAACACACCCACACCACAACACCACACACTGCAACAACACCCACCTCACTGCAACAACACCCACTCCCACAGCGCAACACCCCACAATAACACCACGCTGCAACAACACCCATGGCAACAACACACTGCACCCCCTGCAAAAACACAATATGTGGCAACAACACATACACCACAACAGCACCCACTGGAGTGACACCACAAAAACACTCCGACCAGAATAAAACACACAGCTACAACAGACCACACAACACTCCCACCCCGCACACCGTCCACAACCACAGCACACGTACAGTGCGACAACACACAGACACTGCAGTAATACACCTACCTACCCACCCACAACCTGCACTACAACAACACAATGCGCTGCAATAACATACCCACCATCCACAACCACAACATTCAATGCAGTAATACACAGCACCACAACAACACAATGAGACCCATCCATGGCTACAACAACGCGCACACAGCCATATCCCCACAAAATTGCATGCACACAAGAACAGACACACACCACAAAACACCTGCACATACAGAGACAGGCGTGCATATACACACACACAGAGCAGGGCTCATCACCTGCAACTGGGGACAGCAGTAACACACACTCAGAGAACACACGGCTCAGCCCCTCCAGCAGGGAAATACACACACACACACCGCCCAATCACACAACACCACACACCCATCAGAAGCCACATAGCAAGTCAGTAGCAGAACTGAAAATAGAAGAACTCAGGATAGATAGATAGATAGATGGTGTGTATAGGGTTGGATAGATAAATAGATGATAGATTAGATGGGGGGGGTTGCATATAGATAAAGGGGGTGTGTATAGGGAGATATATAGTTTAGATGTGGGTGGATGGATGGGAGGGGTGTGGATTGATAAAGAGGAGAGATGGGTGGATGGATAGAGGGGAAGGATGGATGGGGTGAGTGGATGGATGGATAGAGGGGAGGGATGGGTGGATGGAGGGAGGGGAGGAGGGATGGATGGATGGAGGGGAGTGATGGATGGATGGGGTGGGTGGATGGATGAATAGAGGGAAGGGATGGATGGATAGTGGGGAGGGATGGATAGATGGATGGATGCATGGATGGATAGTGGGGAGGGATGGATGGATGGATCCGTGGATGGATAGTGGGGAGGGATGGATGGATGGATGCGTGGATGGATAGTGAAGATGGATGGATGCATGGATGGATAGTGGGGAGGGATGGGTGGATGGATAGAAGGAAGGGATGGATGGATGGGTGGATGGATAGAAGGAAGAGTTGGATGGATGGGTGGATGGATGGATAGTGGGAAGGGATGAGTGGATGGATAGAAGGAAGGGTTGGATGGATGGGTGGATAGATGGATGGATAGTGGGGATGGATGGATGGGTGGATGGATGGATGGAGGGATGGGATAGAAGGAAGGGATGGATGGATAGTGGGGAGGGAGGGATGGATGGATGATAGTGGGGATGGATGGGTGGATGGATAGTGGGGATGGATGGTGGGGAGGGATGGATGGATGGGTGGTTGGATAGTGGGGAGGGATGAATGGATGGATAGAGGGGAGGGATGGATGGGGGGAAGGATGGATGGATGGGTAGTGGGGAGGGATGGATGGATAGTGGGGATGGATGGATGGATGGGTGGATGGATAGTGAGGAGGGATGGATGGATGGATGGATGGATAGTGGGGATGGATGGATGGGTGGATGGATAGTGGGGAGGGATGGATGGATGGATGGATGGATAGTGGGGATGGATGGATGGGGGGATGGATAGTGGGGAGGGATGGATGGATGGATGGATGGATAGTGGGGATGGATGGATGGGGGG